CAGGTATTTATTTTTTTCTTCTGTGTTAAAGCATGAGCACTTTTGACAGACCTTCAGTGGTGTTTTGTAGACTGTAGGTAGTCCTTGTTTAACAACGGCAATTGGGACTGGAAACTCCATCGCTAAGCGATGGGGTCATATAGTGACGTATGAGTGCATTGTTTAGAAATAGACCCAGTTCCCATTAAGCAAATCATCCTGAGTCCTTGAGGATTTCGTGTGACTGCAACATTCGACTTCTTGCTGGCTTCCCCATTGACTTTGTTAGAAGCCAGCTGGGAAGGTTGTAAGTTGTAGTCATGTAACTGAGAACACGGCAATGTCATAATTGCAATAATTTGACCACAGGGACACTGTGATGGCCACAATTACAAGGACCCCGTCATAAGTACCCTTCATTCAGCACTATCGTAACCTTGAACAAGCACTGGTCATTAAGCCTTGTCTATCAATGGCTATTCAGTTGCAGCATTCAACCTCTCGTCTACGTGCTAAGGTGCACTCATTGTGTTTTATTATGTTTTGGCGACTGAGTGTGTGGTTGACTTTGTAGTATTCAGCCTCTAGTCTACTTCACATGAAAAAGAGATGAACTTGACTTTTTACTTACTTTCTTGGAGTCAGTGAGAAAAGGGAAAAATATGCTGATTCTGCTTTTTGTTTTGTTTTGCTGAGTAGAAATAACTTATTTTGTTTGACTTCACAGACTCACGAGAACAGAGAACACTTAGTAATGATGGAGAAAATCCTTGGCCCAATTTCACAGCACATGATCCGCAAAACCCGGTAGGAGTGCTTGACTCTGAGTAAGTTTGGTCTTTTCAGGAGCAGGAAGTAGGCCATCATCATCTTGGACAGGTAGATCAGCCAAGGATTATTTGTTGACAACATAAGATGCTGGTCAAGGTTTTTCTGGAAGAGTAACACACACGTGAGGAAGTACTAAACCTGTAAATGAAAGATTTGTTTACACAGTGGAGCCTTTGTATGTTGTAGAACAATTTCTGCGGTGGTTTTATTAAGTATTTAAGGGGGGGGGGGAATGAAGCTTGTTTGCCTCAACCCTTAAAGTTAGTTTTTCTGTGTGCTTTCTTTTTCCTTGTTTGCAACCAGGAAACAGAAATATTTTCACAAAGGAAATTTAGTATGGGATGAGAACACTTCTGATGGAAGATACGTGCAAGAGAACTGCAAACCACTACAGGTAAGGGGGAGAAAAAGCTTTTAATAATGCTTTTAATTCATTAAAAACAGCAAGAACAATGGACTGTTACCTGAATTCATCTTTCATTATGCCTCTGGAACAGGAAATGCCAGCAGAGTTGTTTATCTAATTTTCTGTAACCATTAAAAATACTTAGATCTCTCCTTTTTTTTTCTGAACCAGTATTAGAGACCTGGGTCCATTGGCTGGGAATGTCTTGTAAATGAAAGAGAAGTCCATATGCCCTAAAATGAGCTGAAAGTGGTAATCAAACATTTTGCCACTTTTATACCCCCAAAATTAGCAGACAGGCTCACTTAAATTGTGTCTTATCAATCAAGTACACCCAATTTCACTAGACAAGATTCTGATCTGCTTTTTTTTTTTTTTAAGGGTTCGCCTCCTGTAAACTTCTTATCTTGCCTGTTTTTACTTCTGTAACATTTTTAAAGCAGGGGATTATTCCCTATACATTACTATCCTATACATTGCTAATATATAGTAATATATTTTTTCAAAATCTGGTATCACATGAAAAAAAAAACCCTAATTATTTCAAGGGCTTCAAAAAGGCCCAGCAATTTATGGATCCCTATTCGTCTTCTCTCCCAGACGTACATGCTCCACAATTCCACTGAGCATCTGCAGTTGTTTAATCTGATGATGCAAATGTTAGAGTTTGATCCTGCGCAGCGGATCACGTTCGGCGAAGCTCTGCTCCACCCTTTCTTTGCTGGCTTATCTCCAGAGGAACGGCGGCTCACTTGCCGAGATTCGAGCCGCGATTTAAGCAGATGACAGCTGAATAGAGGGGAGCCCACAGCAGGATATGTAAATACTCCGAGATTAGTCTGACCTCTGCAGAGAACAACGTCAAGGGTTCCCCCCCCATACCCCCCGGAGCACCATGGACTTCGGTGTTGGTGCGATCTAAGATTGGACATCAGACCTGGGAGGGGAACGGGACTGCAGTCCAGAAGCACAGATTTATCTCATATTTATATGTTGTAAAGTTCAAATAAAAGTGTTTCATATTGTTTGATAATTTACTTATGACTGCGTCTAGCTACTTTGACTTCCTATGAATGAACTTTTACATTTAACAATAAAATGGTGGTTTTATATCTTGCCACAAATCTGGGAATTTTACAGTAATGTTTCTTCCCTTGCTGGCTATGTTTTTAAGTCCTTTTTTTCTTTGTAAAGGAGAACATGGAGGATATAGGATCTTGTACTTCAGCGTATTTGGTCACTCTGCATTTTGTGGTTAATCCAGTTGTGAAATTGACTTCAAAGACCCAGGCCTTGTAAAGCTAAAAGTACAGCTTAACCACCTGAAGGAGCTATGCCGATATTCACGGTCAACCTGCAAAGTTTTAACTAAAAATAGGTGGTTTTGAGAGGATATATGTATACCAAAAATCAGGCCCCACTTTTCTTTCAGAGAAAATGTTCTGTATTTAGCAATGTTCAAAAGTTATGCAGCAGTAAAGTAAGGAAGCATTTAAAAGAAAATGGCAGCCAATTCAAACAATACATTTTATATAATAATAAATTGCCTTTGGGACCTGAATTCTGAGGCCTGACTTACATATTTAGATATATTTATCTGAAGATGAGCTTTAAATGGAATATTTGATAAGAAATAAGGTTTGAGTGCCATACTAGCCAGTATCATGACAAATCCTGAACTGAAATAAGCTACAGAAAAGTGATTGTCTAGTACATCATTATTGCACCATTTCTTCTGACAGACCTGCTTCATTTGCCATTTGTCTGAAATGGTATAAGGTTTCCTGCCTGAGCAGGAGGTTGGACTAGATGGCCTCCAAGGTCCCTTCCAACTTTATTATCATTCCTAGGGATAATTTATGCAAAAGGTCTGATTTTTCAGGGATTTACACAACTCTTAAGCCATTCCAAGGTCTTGTATCAATTCAACCCAAGCTTGTGGTTCGATCTTAAAAGATGCACAACTCCCATTAAATTACAAGATATATGCATGGCACTAAACACCATGGTAAGAATCGGGGTGTGTAAATTCTCTGCCCCAGTCTCCAATTTTAATTGTTTAAAATTTATTTTAAGCCTAAATTAGAGGCCTAGTGGCGAAGATGCTCGCCTTCCACTCAGAAAGTTGAGAGTTCAACCTGAGGGAGCAGCAAATGTTTCTCTCCTAGGGCACAAAGAGAAAATATCTGCTCTGAACTCCATATAGGAGTCAGGAAGGGTATCCAGCCGGTAAATGCTCAGCTCTACCCAGTCACCCTGACTCTACCCTGCATTAAGGGATTATGGGATCATAAAAAGGGAGTTTAATTTTAAGTCTAAATTAACCAGCATGGTAGCTGTTGCTTATATATGTATTGATTATAACCGTGTCAATAGCTTCAGTCTGGCTGACAGTTCTTGGGGGGGGGGGGGAGAGGGAAATGCCAATTTCCTGCTTGGGAAGCAAATGGGGAAATGAACACGACTTGGCAAGCGAGCTGCTTTTACTGCAGTTTAATCATTGTGATGAATGAGAATTCTGCATGGCATCTTTGGAGACGAGAAAAGGCTGAGCGTGGTGGATTCCTTGAAGCCAGGCGTCTTCCGCATCCCACTTGGCTAATGCACGGAGCGCCTGAAATCTAGACAGCGCCACAGGACTGCAGGAACAAGCCCCCTTATAGCAAGAACTGGGTCCCCCGGAGAGCATGGTGAGACAATTCCCCACACAAATGGAGAAACACAGGAGAAGCAAGGGTCAGTACGACGGTGCCTACAGAAACGGTGGCTCGTGGGCTTTTCAGTGTGCACGACCACAATTGTTGCAAGCCAGTTGCCTCTTATTGGGTGTCCTGGACTACCTGACGACATCACGTCCGTTCTATAAGCACTGCTGGGTGCTTGTTTTAAAGGGAAGCAGGCCATTGTGCCGGGATTGAGTACTTCAACCTTCCTGGGCCTTTGTATCCAATGGGAACAGCAAGCACCCAACAAAGTTCCTAGTCCTTTCTGTCCTGTGCACATAGTCGCACGCACAACCAGAAGGGGAAAAAAAAGGAATAGCCGTTAATCAGCGTATGCTCTTCACTGTAAGATGGCAGGACGCACGTTACGGTGGAAACCTAAAAGTTGGCACTATCTCCTCTGCTCCTCAAGCACCCCGAGCCCCTGACGACACCCACACAACGTTCACGAGCAGAAACGGGAGAAGCAAGGGCTAGTTTTAGCCACGAGCGGGGAAACGAGGGCGGGTCCTGGAAACGGAGCACGTTACCGTGCCACGGCGACCCAAAGGTGGGCATCCAAGAACACGCGAGCTTGAAAGAGAGAAAGGACAATCCCAGCACAGCCAAACTGTGGTCGTTTCCTCCGGTGATCCTGGAAGGCAAGGGGCAGCACCCAAGCAACCTTTCCCGCTCTAGTGCTGAAAGAAAAAAAGAAGGGGAAAAAAAAAAAGAAAACCCAAAAGTTGAAAAGAAAAATCACAACGGTCTGGTACACAACCAAACCCAGTAGGGCTCCTGGCGTGAGTGGACCTCCCTGCTCATCTTCCCACCACCAACGGTGAGCGGGTTGAAGACGTGAGCTGCCTTCTTCGGCAATGGCACAAGAGCGTGGATGGCTCAGAGGAAGGGGAGTCCTTGCGGTTCTCCCCCCACCCCCCAGCGCTGCGCCGCTGCTCCTTGGAGCAGAAACACAGCCCGGAAGTTAATATTTCCTTAAGGCGTCCAAACGTTTCGTAACGGCCGGGATCCGTCGGGTAGTCGGAGGCGGTCTTCTTCCCCTGGACGAGAGAGGCTTTAGCTTAGGTCGAGTGCAGCGGGATGACAAATTTGCAGCCAAAAGGCGAGTGGTAATTTATGCCCACCTCCTGGAACACTTTCCGGGGGATGCCGATGTCGCAGAGATATAGCCGGCCGGCCCTCTCGCTCAGGGGCAACGGCAGTCCCAAGGCCAGCGACCACTTGGCGTCGACCTCTTGCTCCATTTCGTTCACGGGAGGGTCCAAGCTGAGGACGGGGGCTCTGTTCTGGTTGGCCCAGTCTACGGCCGCCTTGTACCAAGGCTGGTCCCTCAGGAAAGCGTTTTCGTGGCAGTCCAAGCAGTTTATCACGAGGTCCACAGGCGTCTCTGGGAGATCTACGGTGAGGGAGGAAAAGAGAGGGCCTTAGGCATTGGGGCTGATGGGATGTGATGCTGAAGTGGGGGTGAGAGCCAGGTGCAAATCCAGCCCCGGCCACGGACAGCTTGGGACCGGTTCCTCTCTCACAGCACTGCGGTGGAGATCAAAAGGGAAGCCCTCCGCGCATGGTGGTGGAATACAAATCAATAAAGCCATAACGTATAGGAGGTTTTGCAGGAGTCTCTCAAAAACGCCTAGTAACCACTCAGAAAAGGACTTTGGGGGCCTCTTAGTCTAATCCAGGGGTAGGCAACCTTGGCTCTTTTATGACTCGTGGACTTCAACTCCCAGAATTCCTGAGCCAGCATGGCTCAGCTTGGAAACCTCTCCCTTTCCCCTCAGCATGGCTGGCTCAGGAATTCTGGGAGTTGAAGTCCACCAGTCATAAAAGAGCCAAGGTTGCCTACCCCTGGTCTAATCTGTCGCCTCTGCCTGTGCCCCAATTCACCTGTTCGGCCTTTATCCCTGAGATGGAAAAACAAACCAACATCTCCCCACTAGATGGAGCTAATAAGGTTCAAAAATGTAACAGGCGGGTGAAAGCAGCTAACTAATGCTTTTCCCATCTAGAATCTTTACTAGACCTCAACTTCCTTGCCTCTTCCTCAGGGCACAAAGTCAATCAATGGGAAAAGCAGTTATAAATAAACCGACGCCTGCATCCGGGCCCTAGATCTCGTGACAGGGCCGTGATAACCAATCATTGTAACATCCTCATTAACCCCTTTAACTATCCTTCTATCCTTATTTCTGCTGCCTTTCCGTTCTAAGGATAGAAGGATAGTTAAAGGGGTTAATGAGNAGGGCCCGGATGCAGGCGTCGGTTTATTTATAACTGCTTTTCCCATTGATTGACTTTGTGCCCTGAGGATGTCGGAAGGATCCGACGAAAGCTTGGCCCCTATGATTGTATGCTTTTAAAAGTTTTTAAGGTTTTTACTAAACTTTTAATTGTCTTATATTCTCCTGGTGTTCGCATTTTTATTTTGTACCATGGATATTCCCAGGAGTCATTCGTCTGTCTTTTATGTTATTTGCAACCATATATATATATATATATACTAGCCATCAGTGGGGTAGCTGTTTTTATAGGAGCAGTGCCTTTTGCACCCGGCTCCTGGGCCCCGGTAATCCTCTTGCGTTAAATTCTTAGCTGTCCTTCCGCATACTGCTACACACACACACACACACACACACACACCAAATCTGCCACACACACCCCCCCAAAGCATGATTGGATTACAATTTCCACCACCCCACCTTCTTCCTAAGCCTCCCCCTCCCCCTTTAAAACAAAGACATTTGATTTTAAGAGCCTTTAAGGTACCAAGTCTTGACCTCGCCTCCTGAGAGGTGTTTGAAAAGGTCAAGGGAGTGCACAGCCTTTAATTGTGGCACGAACCAACGTTGAAAGGCAACATGACTCCTGGAGGCTTCCAAGAAGTGATCCAATTTTTTGAATCACTTAACTGACGGTTTTATGGAGTGCTTGGAACAGCCCGGTTCAGGCTTCCCAATTTCAAGTTTTTAGAGGGTGGGAAAATCTGGGTGGTGATCTGGAACATTTTTAGTAGCAGGCAGCTTTTTTTAAAAAAATTATCCTGTTTTTCTGTTTGTTATTTTATTGTGCTGGCTTTTACCGTGTTTATGATTTGGGGGCTTATTCATTAGCCATCTGAAGACTTTGAAATTGAGAGATAAATTTGAGGGGTCCTTGGTGCTCTCTGAGCTTGCTTGTTTTCTTGCAGATGTTTCATTACCCAAACTAGATAACATCATCAGGGCTAGTTAATATAGGGCTAGCACTGATGATGTTCCCTAGTTGGGTCATGAAACATCTGCAAGAAAACAGGCTCAAAGAGCACCAAAGACCCCAGAGTCTTTCTCCTCCTCCTCCTCCCTCTTCTCTGCATGCAAACCCCACTCCCTTCTAGCACTGATGATGTTCCCTAGTTGGGTCATGAAACGTCTGCAAGAAAACAAGCAAGCTCAGAGAGCAACCAGGACCCCACATTTCAACCCTGAGCTACAAATATTCTCCTTTATTGGTAGAGAGAAATTTAAAAGGCAGAGCGAATCCCCCCCCCCCCGTTCCACATTTGCAGTTACCTTTAATGCTGGACACCTGCTGGCCTTGCGTCTTGCCGAACAGGGTCAGCTCGTTGGTGATGGAGTCCAGCATCTTGACGAAATTGGGGAGGAAGAGAATGACATCCACGTCGTGATTGGAGAGGTGTCGCCCACAGCTGATTCCCTGGGCCCCTTTCACGTGAGGGCCGCACAACAAGGCAACGGTAGGTCGCTGATGAATGTTTTTGGGATTCAGCCTGAAAGCGAAGGAGGGTTTACTTTCGTCACGTGTGGATCTGCCGGCTAAGGTGCAGAAGAGGAAGCCCCGCTTGTCGCCACCGCTCTAGGAAAAGAACTTCCGAATCTTTACCTGTTGGGTCCTCCGAGCAAACTCAGCGCCATCTGGCTGGCACACACCCCCGCCATCTCCAGCCTTCGCTCCAGCGTCAAGCCGTGTTTCTCAGCCACGGAAAGCAGCTTTTTGTGTAGCTCGTAGGAGACACTTGGGACCACCAGCCCAGAATCTGAAAGGCCAGAATCAGGAGTTAATAATAATAATAATAATATTAATAATGATGATGATGTTGGAAGGGACCTTGGAGGTCATCTAGTCCAGGGGTTTCCAACCTTGGCAATTGTAAGACTTGTGAATTCTGGGAGTTGAAGTCCACAAGTCTTAAAGTTGCCAAGGTTGGAAACCCCTGATCGAGTCCAACCCCCTGCTCAGGCAGGAAACCCTACCCCATTTCGGACAAATGGCTGTCCAGTCTCTTCTTAAAAACTTCCAGTGTTGGACCGCTTCTGGAGGCAGGCTGTTCCACTGGTTAATTGTTCTAACTGTCAGGAAATCTCTCCTTAGTTCCAGGTTGCTTCTCTCCTTGATTAGTTTCCACCCGTTGCTTCTTGTCCTGCCTTCTGGTTCTCTGGAGAATAGCTTGACTCCCTCTTCTTTGGGGCAGCCCCTGAGATACTGGAAGGCTGCTATCATGTCCCCCCTCGTCCTTCTCTTCGTTAAACTGGACATATCCAATTCCAGCAACCGTTCCTTATATGTTTTAGCCTCCAGTCCCCTGATCATCTTTGTTGCTCTTCTCTGCACTCTTTCTAGAGTCTCAACATCTTTTTTACATCGCAGTGACCAAAACTGGACACTTGGAATACCGCATCCAGTTTTGGTCACCACGATGTAAAAAAGATGTTGAGACTCTAGAAAGAGTACAGAGAAGAGTTATCCAAGAGCAAAGGGATTAGGGCAGACCCATCCCCTACGTCACCATCCAAAGGAAGGTCAGGCTCAAGCAACAGGACTTGACCCTTTTCAACTTGGCCATCCCACTCTGGAATTCTTTAGGACCGTCGACACAATGAATGGCTTTTTCAGTCACATGAAGCTGAAGGAACTATGGCTGCTCCCAATTCGATTGGCCAGCATGTGAACAAGCCTAAAAGAGAAGCTGGTTTCAGAGCCGAGGGACAGAATCCAGACCGTCGAGAAGAAGCAGGGAGGCTGTGCTCCTCCAGATGTGTCTGAACTACAGTTACCAACACCTCATGCTAAAAAAGGGAATTACTGGGAATTTGTGCAGCTATTGGAAGCTATTGGAACCTCATCCCTTCCTTAAGGTATGGCTTACAGCTACAGAGAAGAAAAAAAAATGATTATTCTTAAAGATTATTTCAGTTGTCCCTCAGTAGCCTCAGTGCCAGATCTTGATGGGACACCTACCGAGGTAATCACAAGATGTTTGTATTTTTTTTAATAGCAATAGAACCTGGTTTGGTTTTGGCTTTAGAGGGATGGGCAAATTCAATCAAATCGAAGTGAACCCTGACTTGTGAATCCAACTGGCAACAACAGGTTGTTTTAATGTGTGTTGTGACAAGCTTATTACAGAAAAAAAGGGAAGCCGAACTGTATGTAGTTTGACCTTGCATGTTCACAGTCAATTAAAGTAGCTGCCTTATCTTTATTGGCTTTATTACATTAAGTATCAATGCTTCGGCTATTTTGTTCTTGAAACTCACACTAAAACAGTGATAACTTTATTGCAAAAAAAAAAAAAATCCCCCCAAAACCCCAACCACCCAATCCTAGATGTTCAAAGTCAGAGAGACAAAAGCACTGGTTACAAAGAAGAGGGAGTCAAGCTATTCTCCAAAGCACCGAAGGCAGGAGAAGAAGCAACGGATGGAAACTCATCAAGGAGAGAAGCACCCTGGAACTAAGGAGAAACTTCCTGACAGTCAGAACAATTAACCAGTGGAACAACCTGCCTCCAGAAGCGGTGAATGCTCCAACACTGGAAGTTTTTAAGAAGAGACTGGACAGCCATTTGTCTGAAATGGTATAGGGTCTCCTGCCTGAGCAGGGGGTTGGACTCGATGACGTCCAAGGTCCCTTCCAGCTCTTCTGTGATTTTGCTAACAGAGCGGTTGTAAGTGCAAACCCACTGTTCTCTGTGGGCAGAGTTTGGGAAGTAAGCAAGCGCTTAGTGACCGGTTGTAAACCGAGGACTCTGCAGCACCTCTGAGCCCCAACGGTGGTGAACGGAGGGTGCAGAGTTGGGCTATTCTCCAGGGAAACGGGCCTCTTTGGACATGATATTTGTGTTCTAGTTTCGCCGGCCTCGCGTGCCTCCGCAGCTCTTGGCTCGCAATAGCCCTTCATGTAAGGGAATCTTGTTGGGAACACGAGAGAGATAAGGTGTGCGATTACACAGCCCGGCTGCACGCAAGGCCAGTGCTGCACTACGGCTGCACGCTGCTCTGTGCTAATCGCTCCCAGCGTGAGAGCACCCAGCGGACTCCCCTCCCTGCTTCTCCCTCACGCAAGGGCAACCAGTCGGACCAGCTTATCACAACCAGACTTCTTAAATAAACTCAGGAAGGGCGGCAATCAAAAAGGTAGCGTGTAAAGCTAGAGGGGAAATATATATATAGGTAATTACAGAGCTGCAACTGGAGGCTGGCCCGGAGCCAGATTTAAATTACACTCGGGCTGGGAGATAGAAGAGTACAACAGATCAGCTCAGGACTGAATAGGGCAGTGATGGCGAACCTTTTAGAGACCGAGTGCCCAAACTGCAACCCCAAACCCACTTTTGTATCATCGTGTGCCGGGTGGACGTGGCCCACTGGGTGGGCGTGGCTGCGGTGGTAACGGCAGACTTGGGTGGGACTAAAAATTTCAATCAATCAATTCCAACTTTCCAAGATCTTTTTTTTCCCGCGAGAAGTTGCAATTGATTGATTGATTGGACCTTTTTTTTTTGCACATGGCGCAGGAGGCCTAAAGTGAAAAAGTTTTATAAAACCCAGCTGAAGGCCTAGGACTGGGGCGACGGTGCGAGTGCCCACAGAGAGGGCTCTGAGTGCCGCCTCTGGCACCCGTGCCATAGGTTCGCCACCACGGGGATAGGGTATCACTGCACTTGCCAACCGACACAGCTTTGTGAAGGACACTGAAGGAGGCAGTTACACTTCCTTTGCTGGGCTTCTGCTTTTCTCCCACTCTTTATTCTGATTTATTTCAAATCCCCCCACATTTGCCCCAGGCCTTTTTCACCATTGCTTGCTTCTATGGGGTTGCCTGCAACCATGACAGGCTTTTTCCCTGCACAAACTATGTTTTCTCCACTAGACTGCGGTCACCCTCCAATTCAATGGGTCACGTGAGAATCGCAGTTCCACTCTGAGGCCTAATCCGATTTGCTGGAGGCAACTGGGCCACAGTTCCGCGGAGCATCAGGGTGCCAGCGGTGTCCAGATACACCTGCTTGCTCCAGTTCCTTCTCTGTGCAGAACATTTAAAGTAGATTGAGAGTAACCACACCGCTATTAGACCTTCCTTTTCAAAGCAGCGCCCCAAATAATTTCCTAAGGCTTAAAGGAAGTCTGTACAACTTACAACAGCCGTGTCAAACACAAGGCCCGGGGGCCGGATGTGGCCCGCAAAATGGTTTCATGTGGCCCGGGACGCCATCCTGGAAACAGTGAGGGAGCGGCCCCCGCTGCCTTGGCCCTGGCCCAGGCCGACCGGAGGGAGCCAATGTACAATTTTGTGGTGGCCATCTATGCTGAAACGCATTCAGTCTTAGCTCCACAAGGCCGTCTGGAAACAGCGAGGAACCAGCCCCTGCCGTGTCAGCCCTCCCCCCTGGGTGCATGCTGGGGAGGGGTCACCCTTTGTGAGGAATGAAGAAATGGACCATGCCCTGGCACTTGCCCCGGTCCCCCCCCCTTCTGCCAGAGACCCTCAGATCTGTCCCACTCCTGCCCAGGCACCCTTGACGCGAACAATGTAGAGCTGGCCATGCCCACCCAGTAGGCCACACCTGCTCCAGCCACACCCACCCAGTAGGCCGCACCCACTCTGGCCACACACACACACCGAGGGCAACCGCAATGCTGATGCGGCCCTCAATGAAATTGAGTTTGACACCCCTGACTTACAACCCCAGTTCAGCCCAACAGTTCTGGGACAGTTGCCAAGGGAGTTTTGCCCCATTTTACGAGCTTCCATTCCATAGTTGTTAAGTGAAACACGGCTCTTGTTAAGTTAGGAACACGGCTGTTAAGCGAAGCTTGTCAGAAGGTCGCAAAAGTGGATCACGTGAGCCCCCCCCCCTCGGGGATGCTGCGACCGTCATAAAAGCGAGCCGGTTGCCAAGCATCCGAATTTTAAATCACGTGACCATGGGGGAGGGGGAGGTGCTACAACGGCCATAACTGCGAAAAACCCTCGCAAGTCCATTTTTCCCGGTGCCATTTTCACTTAGAACGGCCGCTAACCGAACGGCCGTTAAGTCGAGGACTGCCTGTGGGTGGGAAAAGCCAAGCTCACCAGTGCAGAACTCTTTGCTCGGCTGGGGAACGGTGATCTTCCTGTACACGATGGGCTCAGACGCCAGGATGTTCTCATCGTGGCGATAACGGGCGGCCTTCTCACTCGGCGTGCCTCGGGAGCGGGTCCCGCTCTTCCTCTCGTAGGTCTCGATCTCCTCGAACACGGCGGCCTTGTCGAAAAGGGCCAGGTTCCCCTCAAAGTCAAAGTCGGTGTCCGGGATCTCTTCAATGTCGTCCCCAAAGCACTCGTCGTCCTTGTTCTTCATCGGGCCGTTCTTGGGGCCGCTTTTCTTCGGGGTCACCTGGTTGGGATGGCGGCTACTGGACGACCCTGGGAGGAAGGACAGTAGGGTCAAAGGAGCAGGGGATCTGCTTACAGCAGAGGTCCCCCACCTTTTGGGCACCAGGGACCGGTTCCGTGGAGAGGTTTTTCCGCGGACCGGAGGGTACGTGGTTTTGCGTGCTGCCTGCATCCTGCGGATGGGGCTTTGCTTGTTTGTGCGGACCGGTTGCTGGCATGCCACAGCCCGGTACTGGTCCATGGACCAGGAGCTGGGGACCCCTGGCTTACTGAGTCATCCTCCACTTTGCTGGAGGATGAAGCCCCCAGCGCTGCCTTTTAAATCGTTCCTCCTTGGCTGCAAAATGCTTAGGGTGGATTATGGTATCCTATGGTATCCTCAATTTATGACCGGTTGAAGTTACGGACCTCCCCAGGGTTACTTAAGACCAGGGTTCCACGTTCAGATGGCTGCCCACCCAGTCACGGGATCACATTTCAAGTTCTCAGCCATCGTCATTCACAGCTGTTTGCAGCATCCCGCAATCACATGACTGCAATTTATCAGAATCACAGAGTTGGAAGGGACCTTGTAGGTCATCTAGTCCAACCCTCCCCCCCCACCCAAGCAGGAGATGCGGTTTTTGCTGAAAACCACTTTTATTTTTGGTGCCTGGCAAAAAACGCCCACGGCAGACAGTGGATTCCTGTTAGGATTGCTGTGAAAAAGGTTGTTAAAATTAGGAACGGTCAGGGGGTGATCTGCTTAATATCTGGCACAATTTATGGCTCTAATTCCAGGTTCAATTCCAGTCGTAAGCTGAGAGCGGCTTGCATCATAAGGTTTTAAGACTCGCTGTATGTGAAAGTTACTGCACTAAACCACTGTTCATGTTTACCATTTATATAGTATATAACTAGCTGGGTTCCTCACTCCATTCAGCTGTTACAAGACATCAGTAGCTGGGTCCAACCATCATGCTAAGCCAGAATGATGCAAATCACATTATGGCTTAGCACAACAAACGAAATCAGCTTGACCGTGCCCACTTTAAAAGCCAGTTATCTCCAGCCTCCGCTAGACTTCTTCCCTTCCCTTCCTAATACCCCTATTTTGAACCAGTCAGTCAAAGGGGTGGTGCCAGGCTCCACAGTGGCATTCTGCATCACAGCAAGAATGGTATAAAGACCCGTGAAGTCTTTGCTTCTCTCTCGCCAGACCACAGCTAGAGTCTCAGTGCACAATGCTGGGCACCACATCTTCAAAAGGATATTGACACGGCTGGAAGAGGTTCAAAGGACAGGAATGAGCCAAGGTGGTAAGGAAGTGCCTTATGAAGACAGGTAGAAGGAACACGCGCAAAGGCAGCCACCTTATCACCGGCAGGGCCACGGTCCGCATCTCAAGAAAGAGGAAGCTGGCACAGCAACCGAGCCGCGCCAAGGTGGGACAACGGAGACGACGCCAAAGAGACTCACACGAGTTGTGCCTGCGGCGGAAGTTTTTTGAGGGGTTCAAGGATTCCATGTGTCGATCCACGTAGCTCTTAGAACACGGGTGCAGCTGGGGAGAAAGGGCAACCTCTTGGCTCTTGGCATCGGTTCTCCTGGGGATGTTCTGGGGGGCACTGCTGGGCTTCTTCAGCAATTTGCCAGTGCCGTTCTGACTGGCACCACCCAGGCCCTCGAGAGCGGGAATGCCAAGGTCGGGGTGCTGGAAATCTCCACACTGTCCGTTATCGCCAAGGCCTGGAATCTCCAGAATCTTCAACTCGGTGATGTCCCCAGCCCTAAAGAGGGAAAGAGGGCCAGAGTGGGGGTTAATTGCCCACAACGCTTGCCTCTCGTCGCATCCTCTGCCCTGTTCTGCTCACTTCCGGCCAGCATCAGATAGAAAAGGAAAAGCTATGCATCTTGAGGGCTTCAAGCTGGGGAAGAGTGCTGTATAGGAACATAAATCACCCTGGTTCATAGTTTAACCACCAGAAATGACACTCTCAGAAGAACCTAAGTCTAGGTCTATTCAGTCACTTAAAGATGACTTCAGGTAGCCGAAGATTTACATTCTTTAATGTAACTCACTTTTGTAAGAACTGACAGACTTCCAGGCTGCTGGTTTCCCCCCCAAGCATGGACAAAAAGTCCCATCAACAACCCAAGAACCATAATCCAGCCATTTTCAATTGTCCAAATGTATACCCATTTTCCATTTTCAAAAGATGCTTCCAGCTTTCCAAATAACCCATCCCCTTTATAAACACATATTGCAAAAAAAAAAAAAGAAGACAGCAATTCAATTTGACATCAGCTGCTCGAAGTTCTGAAAGATAGCCATAGCTCTTCGTTATATACCGCTTCCCACTGCTTTACAGTCCTCTCTACGCGGTTTACAGAGTCAGCATATTTGCCCCCAACAATCTTGGGTCCTCGTTTTACCGACCTCGGAAGGACGGAAGGCTGAGTCAATCTTGAGCCGTTCAGGATCGAACTGCTGGCAGGGGGTAGAGTCAGCCTGCAATGCTGCATTCTAACGACTCTGCCACCACAGCTCTTAATAGCAATAGCCCTTAGACGTATATACCGCTTCACATCCCTCGCTAAGCGGTTTACAGAGTCAGCATATTTGCCCCCAACAATCTTGGGTCCTCGTTTTACCGACCTCGGAAGGATGGAAGGCTGAGTCAACCCTGAGCCGGTGAGAACCGAACTGCCAAACTGCAGGCAGCCGGCAGGCAGCAGAAGTAGCCTGCAGTGCTGCATTCTAAGCACAGCGCCACCAGGGCTCATATGAAATATAAACCACCATATACCACGAATGTGCCATGCCTCCTGCTATATTTTCAGGAAAAAAAACGACAACATTCCGTTTTCGAGCCTCAACGAAGAGTCCCGGAGAAGCGTTTACCTGAAAGTAACCTCGGGTACCAAACATTTGACTCCGTTATGGAAAGGCCGTGTGAGTGAAATTGTCTGGCTAGCTTGATTCACAGCAGACACTCTTCCCTGGTAGACTCCCAGGCTGTCTCCACAACTGATTGAGACGATGCTTCCAAGCCAATCTGTAGCCATGATTTCCCGGATTGCTGCAAAACAATCAAAGAGATGATGAGCTAATATATACTGCACCAAAAGAGAGTGTTTACAGCTCAGGGTCCAACTGTGGAGTCCTTGATGCTTTTTGAGCTTGGTTATCTTGCAGACGTTTCCTGGGCCAACAACATTACTTCATTACTCATATGTATGTATGTATGTATATAGCACGTGTATAGTCATAACACAAGTGGCCAGTGAAGTCAAGAGTATGATAGGTTTTGTGTGTTAGGTATGTATATGGTTTTGTATGTTAGGTATGTATATGGTGTTGTGTGTTAGGTATGTATATGGGTAGATATATTCTGTCTTTTGAGAGCAGGCTCCAGAGTTTCATTTTTAATGTGGGTCAGGGTGCTCATAAAAATGACAATAAAGGTTATCTTATCAATATGAGATAATCATCAGAGCACCATCAACATCACCAGAGCACTGATGAGGTTATCTAGTCAGGTGAGGAAATGTCCCCAAGCAAACAACCAAGCTCAGAGAGCACCAAGGGCTCCACATAGATTGCACCGAAATAATTCCTGAAATACGTTGTCTGTTAAGGATAAATCTTTTATTCGCTCCCTAACAGCCAGGTGCGTAGGCCGGGTTAAGAGGGCGATTGCCCAAAGTTATTCAGTGGGCTTGGCTGGTCCATCGGTCTGCCCATCAGTCACTTTGTCTGTATGTCCATCTGCCTAGCTGTCCGCCAACCTGTCTGTCAGTCCTAGCTGTCCATCAATCCATATGTCCATCCACCTATCACAGAGGTCCCCAACCTTTTGGGCACCAGGGACCGGTGCCATGGAGAAAGGTTTTTCCGCGCACCGGAGGGGGTGTGGTTTTGTGTGCTGCTTGCATCCCAAGGATGGGGCTTTGCTTGTTTGTGCGGACCGGTTGCTGGCGGACTGGGGGTTGGGGACCCCTGACCTATCAGTCTATCTATCTGACAGATGGGCAGGTGGGCAGACAGATGTGCTGGCTGGGAATTCTGGGAGCTGCAGTCCACACGCGTTAAACTGGCTGAGGTGGCGAGTTCAAACTCTGCAGCAGAACCCAGAGCCCACTGAAGAACTTGGGACAGTCCCTTCCTTAATTCCCAGGTCTATGGGGGGGGGAGGATAAAATGGTGGGGGAGGGGAAAGTCTCCCCCACTGAGCTTAGGGGAGGGGGGTAAGCTCCCTTTTGGGGGGGAGGAAGAGCAACCCCTCCCCAGACTATCACGGCAAGGGCGTCTGAGGGCAGACTCGAACCCGGGTCCTCCCCCCCTCCAACCTCTCCCCCTCCCCAGCTCCTCAATTCTGCTCTATGAACCGAACTTGGGAGGGGAGGAAGTGACGTCACTCCCCTTCCAAAGGGGGCGTGGCCGAGCCAAAGAGGGCCAACAGGGGGAGGCTCCCCTCGCGCCTCCTCGCCCTGCCTGAACGGCCCCAGGCGGGAGAGCGGCGGCGGCCCTGGCCGGCGGAGAGGCGGGGACCCTGCGGCCCCCCCACAGGCCCCCCCACGGCCGCCTCCACACCTGGGACGGGGAAGCCGAGGAACCGCGGGCTCCAGCCTTCGCCTCGCTCGACCCTCCGCTTCGGACGCCTTCGCTCCGGAAACGTCGCCCAGCAGGGGAAGTGGCCATCACTTCCGCTTCCGCCTCTCTTTAAGGCACTCTAGGGATGAGGCGGAGAGACGGTGGCTTTCGTGGGAAGGTATGCTGGGGCGCATGCGCGCGCGAGAGGGGCAAGGCGGTTGGAATAGGCGCTCGCGGGGTGCTGGGCATGCGTATTGGCGATATTGGGGAAAGCTGCGGATTGGTGCTTAGGGAAGCTGGATCAGCGTTTTTCTCGACCTTTAAAGTGTCAGGACTCCAATTCCCAGAATTCCTCGCCTAGCAGGCTTTAAGATGGGTGGACTTCAACTCCCAGAATCCCCCTGGTTGGGGACTTATGGGAGTTTTATTTATTTATGTTATTCAGCTTTTATAACTTTGAAAATGGTAATTTTATAACTTTTTTTATAAGTGAATTGAAGTTCAGGCGTCTTAAAAGTTGCTAAGCTTGAGAAATACCGAGCTAGACCATAAGCCAGACCTTGAAATGTTGTAATGTCTGTCAATGAGTCAAAACTTTGTGGGGAATTTAGCAAAATCGGTGCGTATGCAAAAATGCATGTGTAACTGTAAATGCCCAATATATTATTTAGAAAAGCGTCAGGTCACCGGTTTTTATTACTGTTTTCCTAAAGGTTTGTATCCCTTTAAAATATTATCCGATTTTTTCCTCTAAAAGAGCAATTGACAAATTCACAAACCATCTTGTAGAAAGCCATTTTTATTTTTATTTTTACAATATACATATAATACTTAATAGAGATTTTCTGGGTCATCCAAAATTTAATCTCTAGGCAAGAATGTGACATATACTTCTGCAGAATCAGTGGCTCGTAGGCAGATAATTGATACATAAAGTGCATTTAATAATTCGAAGCACCTTTTTCAAGCATAATTCCCCAGTCATCACACTTAAAATGATCGTGTTTTGTTCTTTTTTTTGGTTCATATTTTAATTTCAGTTTTCTTCTAAGAATTTCAAAGTATGCATACTATTTTCTGCCATTTGTTCCACAAGAAACCCTACGAGGTAGATTAAGATAAGAGATAGTGGCTAGTTCAAAGTCATAACACAAGTGGCCAGTGAAGTCAAGAGTATGATAGGTTTTCTATTCCTTCCTTTTCGATTCCTTCCCTGTCATCTTGCAAAGATTTGGATCCCATCCCTGTCACCTTGCAGAGATCTAGACCAGATCATCCCTATCCTCTTGCCAACCTCTAGGTCCAGGTCCTGTTACCTTGCCAAGATCTAGATCCAGATTCCACCCATGTCACCTTGCAAAGTTCTAGGTCCACCCCACCCTGTTCTCTTGCAAATATCTAGTAGATCCAGCTTACATCTATTCTTTTGAAAATATTTAGATCCTGCTTCTATCCCTGTTATTTGCAAAGTCCCAGATACTTTCCCTTGCAAAAAAAAAGAAAAAGAAAAACCTCTTTGTTCTGTATGGCTGAGTATCTTAGAAGGCGAACTGGGGTGTGCACATATGGATGGCCACCTGCTCTGGTGTACCTAGATGTGTTGATGCATTCCTCTCGCACATGGATAACGAGTCTGAAGGACTCTACATTTGACATACAAAGAAGTTGCTGCATAATATACATGGGGAAAAATGCTGTCCGTGTTCCAATACAAGGGCCAGAATTTTAGAAATGCTTTGGGGTGGTTTTTCAACAAGACCTCCAACCTGTAATAATTCATCACTGTGCTTCTCAGTTTTACACTTGTGATAAGAACCCCATGAGCCAACACAGTGCTAGGCTGCATTAACAGAGGGATAGACTCAAGATCACGTGAAGTGTTAATACCACTTTACAATGCCTTGGTAAGGCCACACTTGGAATACTGCATCCGGTTTTGGTCACCACGATGTAAAAAAGATGTGGAGACTCTAGAAAGAGGGCAGAGAAGAGCAACAAAGATGATCAGGGGATGGAGGCTAAAATATATAAAGGACGGTTGATGGAATTGGGTATGTCTAGTTTAATGAAGAGAAGGACTAGGGCAGGGGTAGGCAACCTTGGCTCTTTTATGACTCCTGGACTTCAACTCCCAGAATTCCAATTCTGGGAGTTGAAGTCCAGGAGTCATAAAAGAGCCAAGGTTGCCTACCCCTGGACTAGGGGGACATGATAGCAGGGTTCCAACATCTCAGGGGCTGCCCCAAGGAAGAGGGAGTCAACTTATTCTCCAAAGCACCTGAAGACAGGACAAGAAGCAACGGATGGAAACTAATCAAGGAGAGAAGCAACCTGGAACTAAGGAGAAATTTCCTGACAATTAGAACAATTAACCAGTGGAACAACCTGCCTTCAGAAGTGGTGAATGCTCCAACACTGGAAGTTTTTAAAAAGAGACTGGACAGCCGTTTGTCTGAAATGGTGTAGGGTTTCCTACCTGAGCAGGTAGTTGGACTAGATGACCTCCAAGGTCCCTTCCAACTTTATTACTATTATTATTGTTATAACTCCATGCTGGAAAAACAATTTCACTCAGTGTGGACTATCTAGCCACCCACATCACAGGATTATTCGCGGATTCGAATGAAGTGCCTCTTTAGATCAGCTTAGGCTCTGAGACAATTCAAAGGATATTCTGTGTTAATAAAAGACCTCATGAAAGCGCGCACACACACACACACATACACCCCGAGATATAAATCCCCCATTTTTCTTTGCAGCAAGCTAGTAACATCGTTGTGGGCAGCTGAGCCACACACCAAACCAAGCAATAAATCCTATCAGTTAAGTAACCCCTTGCCCCCCTTCTTGGACAAAGGTCAGCCTCCACTCTTTGCAGCTCTCCCTTGCTAGAAACGGGGTTTGACCCGGAAGTGTTCGCATTTCTTATACTTCATGGTCAGGCCATACTCGGGAGTTGCATCCATCATCTCTGTGCCAGACAGGGTGAATTCCAGTTTCTGCACCAAAGTGGTCAGAAACAGGAACACCTCCAATTTCGCAATGTTCTGTCCAATGCATTGCCTTTTGCCCAAGCCAAAAACCATCACTTTTTCACACTCTGCTCGGTTGATTCCTGTCCCGTCAGTCGCAAGAAATCGTTCCGGGTTGAAAACAGAAGGCTCATTCCAAAGTTTCCTAAAGGGAAAAAAAAATGCAAACAAACCATCTAGGTCAGGGGGTCTTCAAACTTGGCCCTTTTATGACTTGTGGACTTCAACTCCCAGAATTCCTCAGCCAGGCGCGCGTGCCTGGCTGAGGAATTCTGGGAATTGAAGTCCACAAGTCATAAAAGGGCTAAGTTTGAAGACCCCTGATCTAGGTTATCTCTTTATGAAACCCCCAAGGCAGAGTAGGAGAAAGCACACATTCAAATATCCTTTGCCTAGCCAGATTAAATCAACCACATTCGAGTTGGAACATGACTCCTGAAGTTGCCAACCCCTTCCTTCGGTAACAATCTATGTGGAACCTACTAAGGTTTTGTGAAGATTTCATCCAGTCTCTCCTTTTTAGCCAGATCTTCCAATTGCCAAATGGATTTGGTGATCAGGTAGATCTTCTGTGAGTGTATTACACATACTTCTTAGGGAACAGATGTTGAGTTGAATGATTTGAATCGAATTGACTCAGCATATGCCCACAATTCCTCTAAATGTAAATTTCCAGATGTGTGGACTTCAAATCCCAGAATTCCACAGCCATCTTGGCCATTGATGAGTATTCTGGGAACTGAAGTTCACCAATTTTTAAGGTGCGAAGATTGGGAAACCGGAATCTAGAATAAAGATGGGAAGGAGCAGACAGCCCATAGTCCCCCTTCCAAAGGCTTGTAGGAGGCCTCTAAAGCCCTCATTATTTTTGCTACTAGTACTTAATCCCAAGCACAAGTACAGGTATATTCAAGTTTGATTTACAACCACAATTGCAATTAGCTACGGGGGCTGTGAAAACTATTTGATTCAGTTCCCCAAAGGTAAGTCTTTTTAATATGTGGAAGTAACATACAGTAGTAGCCCTTACTACAACTCTTTAAAGCAGTTATGAAATTTAAGGCACCGCATGGCAGTAAATGCAACTCAGATTTTACAGTAATTGACTGCACAAAGAATTCTATTTGTGCTCTGCTTGGCAATTAAGTAAAGAACTATTCTTGGCAATACTTACGGATCATGGTTGACCTGCCATTGGTTCACAAACACACAGGTATCTCTAGGAATATAGAAGCCATTCAAAACTGTATCCCTAGTGGTGCTAAACAGAAAGAGAATGTTTGCAGTAAGATAACAGACTGACTAGTATTAACAGAACCACATGAACACAGTCGGTCCTTTTGATAAGATTCAATCAACTTTTTTGAAAACATGGAATTTAAGCACACAGCAGGCCAAGCAGTTGACAAACTACTAACTCTTGCTAGTCACTAATAGTATTTTCTGTTACCCTACAGTCACCATGGGGATGTGTTCACACGTCACACTAAGACACAGTTTGCTGAAGTCTAGCTTTTTGAATCTACCACAATGAGCTGAGTTCGCCCACAACAAAATCAGGACTATGTGTTAAGTTGCCGTTCACAAGATCTATTGCTTAAGCCTACGCAAAAGAATCCAGTCAATGAAAGTTCAATATTAAATTGGCTCCAGAGAAGAGTCAATGGGATTCAAGAGGGATTGGATCTGGAGCATTTGTGGCAACCTAATGATTCTAAGCTGATGGCAAGCTTAGCTCTGCCTCCCAGCTCTGCCTGCTCTTCTCCCACATATTTGTTCCAAACTCTCTGGAATCCCCCCCCCCTAAAATGATGGTGGTACTTTAAAATACCTCAGGAGATCCTGGATCACTTGCCCACTCCTTTTTGTCATGTTGATCTCTAATTTTCTAACATAGGTTACTCTCCAGTCAGTTCAATCTTACCAGTGCGGGATTGTGAAGGGAATGAAGGATGAATGCCTGAACATCTCGTAGATAAAAGCTTCAGAGTAAGGGAGCATGGCACGGTCAGAGTGCTTGGGTGTCCTTTCTCTTCCAATGATTTGGTCTGTGCGTCAGGAGAAAAACAGAAATAAGAGTCACTTTGGTCTACTGGTGAAAGCACTTAAACAGGAGGCAGTGAGTTCAGGTCCCATGAAAGCCAGGTGGGTGACTTTGGGCCCATCACCAGGAGGCGGTGAGTTCTAGTCGCGCCTTAGGCAGGAAAGCCAACCGGGTGACTTTGGGCCAGTCCCTTTCTCTCGGCCCAACTCACTTCACAGGGTTGTTATTGTGGGGAAAATAGGAGGAGGAAGGTGTGTTGGATATGTTCACCGCCTTGAGTTTCTTGTAAAAAAAATAAAAGCAGGATACAAATCAATCAATCAATAAGATTTACAGAATATCAATGGAAAGCCAGACTTGGAAAGGGACTTTTAAAGCTCCACAGATTTGGATTTACCTAGTTCTTCTTGAATTCTCCTCTGGGTTTCTGGGTAAGTCACCAGATACAGAAGGCACCAGGAGAGAGAAGTAGTGACCGTATCAAATCCTGGACAGACACAAAAAAAAAGGGCGGAAAAAAAGCATTTAAGCATCAAATGTAGAATTGCAGATTGGGGTCTGGGTTTCCCTGTATGATATTAAATGCTTTCATTTAACCACCAGCATGTGAGCCATATCTAATGCTACGTCATCCAGGGCTTAGCTCATTTTGGAGAAGCAAGTGTGCTCAGAAGATGGCTTGAGTGAATGGCATCATTTTTGCCAATCGCCAAAGGCTTTCAGCCTGAAATCACACTGGCTTGAGAATTCTGGGAGATGAAGTCCACATATCTTCAAGTGGCCACGGTTGAGAAGCACTGACCTCAAAGGTCTCCAAATGATAGGGTTAAATTAAATCTGGAGGACTCTATTGAAAAAAATATGTTACAGCCTGCCAAGTTGAAATTTTTATTATCACATGCAATACTACCAAGGATGATGAAGATGACTCATCTCCTTCCCATCTGTCAATTATGTCTTGACCCAAAAAAAAAAAAAACAAAAACAGGAAAGATACAGTAATGCAGGGGTGTCAAACTAAATTTCATTGAGGGCCGCATCAGCATTGCAGTTGCCCTCGGGGGGCTGGGGGTGTGTGGCCAGGGTGGGTGTGGCCTACTGGGTGGGTGTGGATGGAGTGGGTGTGGCCTACTGGGTGGGCATGGCCAGCTCTACATCGTTTGCGTCAAGGGTGCCTGTGGGGGGCTGGGCAGGAGTGGGACAGATCTGAGGGTCTCTGGCAGAAGGGGGTGGGATTGGGGCAAGCGCCAAGGCATGCTCCATTTCTTCATTCCTCACAAAGGGTGACACCTCCCCAGCATGCACCCAGGGGGCGGGGCCGACACGGCAGGGGCTGGTTCCTCGCTGTTTCCAGACGGCCTTGTGGAGCTAAGACTGAATGTGTTTCAGCATAGATGGCCACCACAAAATTGTACATTGGCTCCTGGCCGGCCTGGACCAGGGCCAAGGCAGCGGGGGCCGTTCCCTCACTGTTTCCAGGATGGCTCCGCGGGCCACATGAAACCACTTCGCGGGCCGCATCCGGCTCCCGGGCCTTGTGTTTGACATGTCTGCAGTAATGGCTGAGAAACGTGGAATGATGGGACGCAGTTTGTGCATCTGGGTGAATTATGAATCAGAGATGGGTCTTGATGGCTACAAAGGTTTATTTTCTTTAAACGCATTGACACCTGTCTGTTAAATGGATGTTGCTGAAATGGTCCTGGGGAAGAAGAAAAAAGGGGCTTGCCTTTAGGACAAGGGTTTCTTACCAGCTCCAAAGAGTTCGTTGACGATACCAACAATGTTCTGATCCTTGAGGGCATTGTTGCCATTTAAGTTCAGTTTTTTATCCTGGCAGAAGCTGATGAGGGAGTCCGTGATATCTCGGATGTTGTCCTGGAATGCAGACCAGAAGGAGAGATGTGAGACCAACGTCCAGCCCGCCCGACTCTCAATTTCATGAAGAACGAACATTGTTATTTAGACGACCACATGCCAAATACTTTTCTGCAAACTAGGTCACGAGGAGTCGTTCTCACTGAGTATTGGTTAAAAGTGGTTTGTTGAATAAGCCAGGATTGGCTGGGTCCACATCCTCTACTGACTCGGGTAATATTCAAACCACAGTGTTGGAATTCACCCATCACATCAAGCCATGATGGGTCCAGTTTGCTTTGCTTAGCCTGCTGTGCAAAGTCAGCCATAGTGATTAACTCAATTAATAAGAGGTGATCAACTTAACACATTGTTCCTCAGCTTCAGCAATTTCAAGATGTGGGGACTTCAACTCCCAGCATTCCTCAGCCAGAATCCTGGGAGTTGAAGTCCACATATCCTGAAGTTGCTGAGATTGAGAAAAACTTATCTAAGGCATTAAGACAGGGGTCTTCAAACTTGGCCCTTTTATGACTTGTGTCTGGCTGCGGAATTCTGGGAGTTGAAGTCCACAAGTTATAAAAGGGCCAAGTTTGAAGACCCCTGCATTAAGACCAGATATAACCCCTTCCAACGCTTCCCTCTAAGCCTTGCTTGGTGACTATATACAATCCTAATGTCTAATGACACACCTTGTCAAAGCCCTCATAGTGTTCTTCAACCAGCTTCTGAACCAGCATGTTGAATCGCTGGTTCAGATCTTTGAAGGCTTCCATGCTGCGGCTGGGAAGATATTGGAGGATTGGGAAGAAATCAGCTGGATTTCCAGATGCGGCCACCAGCCCAAAATCATTGTTGATGTCCACTATCTTCAGAAGTTCTTGGTCCTCGTGGTTGTAACGCTTCCCAAAGCACATGGCACAGATGACGTTGACTACGGAGATCACCACATACTGGAAGGGCTCAAAACTCTCCTTCTCTCTCATCAGATCTTGGAATTTCATGACCAGGTACTCTGCCTCTTTGGAGACGTGCTCCTCCAGCAGGCTAGTCGACGAGTTTGGGCTGGTTGAGGTCGCAAAGGTCTTGAGGGCATTCTGGGCCAGCTTTCGGCGAGTGCGCCAGCTTTCCTCAGAATTCCTCCCAAAAGTGAAGGTCTGACCATCACCAATGAACTTGAAGCTGTGGAGATCTGGGCGTGCAGTAAAGTCACTCCCTTGCTTCACTAGGGCTTGCTTGATGGTTTCCAGCCCGCTCAGCACCACCACGGGCTTTGCGCCAAGATGAATTAACATGACCTCTCCATACTTCTGGCTCATCTGGGTCAACGACAGATGAGGATTTTTCCCCAGGTCTAAGATATTTCCAATCAAGGGATACCCCCTCGGCCCTCGTAGCTTCCTTAATCCTGGTGGGATCCGTTGCCGGATTCTGAAGAGGAGCAGCAGGAGACAGAAAACAGCAGTGCCGATCAGGATTTCTGGGACAGAGACCATGTTTTTGCTTCCGATCAAGACCGACTTCATCGTCCTCAATAGGCTGGTGAGCCAAGAAACAGAGAAGAAAGGAAGAGGATGAATGTATGTATTTATATATCTGTTTGGTATTGCGTAGTGTTCATCTTTTTTTTTTAAACTTTGTCAAAATGCTTCTTTAATTTCATATGTGTACATGTGTCTCCCAATATAGAGATATTGTATTTGGACATTACTTAGTGTCAGTGTTTTCCCAGTTTTGTATAGGCTTCTCAGATTCCACGTACCAAGTCATAGTTTTGGGTTTATCATGCTTCTAGCGGACTGGGAGATTCTTAGCACCCCTGCCCCATTTAAGGGGCGCCCGTACTTGGGGCCATTGTTAGGTTTTGCCGCCATTAACATGATTTTCCTGGGAAATATATAGTGTAGTAGTCTTCCCTTTGCTTTCTACACCGCTGTGCACACGCTCTTCAAGTGCTACTCAGCAGCACTTTTTCGTGTAGCTGCTGATAAAAACAGGATCGCCAACGTCCAATAATGGATATGGCACAAGAAGAAGTACATGTGTCTACAGCCCAAAGAGCCATCTCAAAAAGGTAATTGATGACTTCCATTTTCAGCTCGCCAGCTGCTGGTCTTCTTCAAGGAAACTCAAACAAAGAGAACGATGTTAGTTTGTTTACTGAAATGGATGAGACTCTTTCTAGAGTGCAGAGAAGAACAACCGAGATGATTAGGGGGACTGGAGGCTAAAACATAGGAAGAAGGGTTGCAGGGTTTGGGTTTGGCTAGTCTAGAGAAAAGAAGGACTGGGGGGGGGGGACATGATAGCAGTGATACAATATTTGAGGGGCTGTCACAGAGAGGAGGGGGTCAACTTATGTTCCAGAGCACCAGAAGGCAGGACAAGAAACAACAGATGGAAACTCATCAAGGAGAGAAGCAAGCTGGAATTAAGGAGAAACTGCCTAACAGTGAGGACAATTAACCAGTGGAACAGCTGGCCACCAGAAGTTGTGGGTGCTCCATCACTGGAGGTTTTTAAGAAGAGACTGGACAGCCACCTGTCTGAAACGGTCTCTAGGGTCTCCTGCTTGAGCAGGGGGTTGGACTAGAAGACCTCTAAGGTCCCTTCCAGATCTAGTCTGATTGAAATCTCAGGGTCCTGGGATTGTCATTTGCAAACTTCGCAATGGGGGAAGCCAACTTCCCTTAATGACCACAGGATTCACTTAAGAACTGCAAATGATTCGGTTAACAGCCATGGCTTAAAGGGTCCTAAAATTAGGCACCCCCCCCCAACTGCTTTGCTTAGCCACAGACATTCTGGACCTGTCATCGTAAATCAAGGACTATCTGTGCATTCATAGATTCAAAGCACCCTCACCTACAGAAGGACCCCTTTTTCAGGGGTTTCCGAACAGGTGCCAATCCGAATTCACCCGCTAGACTAGAGAGAGGGACGCAGAATCCACATTCTGTGTTTCACATTTTATCTTGATAAAAGAAGCGATCCCCAGCGTGGATTTACCAAGACCAAAATCAATTTAAATGAAAAGCAGGGTTTTTCTGGAGGACACGCGTGGAGACACTCACCCACAGCCCACGTTGGGAAAAAAACCGGGGGAAATCGAGGCGCGGACCTCCGACCTGCTCTGGATTCGCTCGCCCGGCGCCGAAAACGGCTTCACTCCGGCGTCGCTCCGCTTTCTCCGGCGAAGAGAAGATGCCCGGGGGATTAAACCGCAGCGCAGAACTTCGCTGGCTTAAAGCGCCGCTCGGTTCCAGCTTTATATGCCCCTCCTCGGGCTCTGATTGGCCGCGGGTTTTCGCGTCACGTGACAGCGGTTCCTCTTGAAACCCAGGTTGGGTCACGCTGACACCAGACGCGCGTCCGGGGTGCGCTTGTGGACGGGGGCAATGGTGGGGCGCAATTCTCCCGGTTGCCAATGGGTTTACTCGCGAGTAAAGGCAGCTTCGGGCGCTTCCTGGAGATTTTGCCTGAAAGATCATTCTTGCTCTCCCTTGTGATAGAAATAATAATAATAATAATAATAATAATAATAATAATAATAATAATAATAATAATAATAATAATAATAATAATAATATTCGCACGGTCAGCCAGATGTTCAGACTAGGTTTGGCATTTTTGTCTACCTATCAAGTCCTTATAGGCAGATGTGGATTTATATTAATATTAATAATTGCACTGTCAGCCAGATGTTCAATGTGGGTTTGGCATTTTTATCTTACCAAGGACCTGGGATAGGCAGATGTGGATGTTTTATGCTGTTACAGAAATCATCACAGGATGGAAGCTATCCCCAGTAAAACCACCTTTTTTATTATTATTATTATTATTATTATTATTATTATTATTATTATTATTATTATTATTATTATTATTATTATTATTATTATTATTATTATTATTCACAAATCCAAGTTTTAACACATTGGAGCCCAACTCTCCTTTCTCCTCCGCCAGCAAATTCAGCCAGGTTGACCATCTACATCCGAAATGTAAAGTTTGCCTGCAACAAACAAACGGCAAGTTCTCCGCCCAGTGCCCAGTTTAACTTTGCTGCACTTGTCGGGACCAAGGTCAGGTAGATGGAGGAAGGAGTGCAACTTTGCTCGTCTGTCTGGTGGATCAGGACCCTCAAGGCTCTTTCCGGCTTTGGGGGGGGGGAATCTTGTCCAATGTGGCTGCTGCCAACAGCTCAGCCAGTTTAGCCAACGTCTAGGCAGTCCTCGACTTACAGCAATTCATTTAGTGACCGTTCAGTGTTACAGCAGGGCTGAAAAAAGTGACTTGTGACCTTTTTCCCACACTTGTGTCCATTTGCAGCATCCCCATGGTCAAAATTCAGACGTTTGGCAACTGACTCATATTTATGACACGGTTGCAGCGCCCCGGGGCCACGTGATCCCCTTTTGTGACCTTCTGACAAGCAAAGTCAGTGCCAGATTCACTTAACAACCGGGTTGCTAACTAATCACCTGCATGGGTTCCCTTAACCACCGAGGCGAGGAAGGTCATAAAACGGGACAAAAACTTGCTTAACAACAGAAATGTTGGGCTCACTTGCGGTCATAAGTGAAGGACTACTGGTACGTGTGTGTGAGAGAGAATTTAGCCTTTTGTCCATTGGTGGATTGGTTCGGAAAAAAGTTTCACTGGGGTTCACGTCTAGGACTCCAGCGTTGAGTTAGGGCCTGGGAAATCCGGGGGAGTTTCTCCAATCTCATCTCAGCCTCATAAATTGTGAATGTGATGTTGCAGAAAGTCACCTGGACAAGCTCCTGCAGGCTGTTTTGTGAAGGAAGAACATCCGTCTGTTCTCCTGTTTTGTTTTGCTTTTTTCCCTTAATAGCACTTCAGCTGCCTGTCCTCCACCAGGTGCCCTCGAGTGCCTCGGATCGCCATTCCCATCATCCCCAACCAGCCTGGCCTTCAGAGCCCCGGGTTTCAGCATGCTCCTTTGGGTGGTTGTATTGGCCCAGCATGCTAAACCATCAATCAGAGTTAAGGGATATGCTTGGTTCGTGCAACAGAGCAAAAGGGAACAGGAGGTACGAATTCATGCCGCAAAGGAAAACTTAAGAAATCACTCTTGCGGGTGCGAAGAACAGCCAGTGTTTGTACAAAGAAATCACACCGATAAAGGAGAGAATATTGTAGCTCAGGGTTGAAATGAGGGGTCCTGGGTGCTCTCTGAGCTTGGTTGTTCTCTTGTAGATGTTTTGTTACCCAACTAGATAACACCATCAGTGCTGCAAGAAAACAAGACCACCAAGGACCCCGAAAGAAATCACAACTGGGACGATAAACTCTAATAGCATCGGAAGCCCGCCAAAAATAAAAACAAAAGGGACAATTCATGACACCGCATTTGAAGCCCTGAATCAAGCACAAATTGTTTCCAAGTCTAACAGTTGTGCAAAGCCACGGCTCCCAGTTTGTTTCGGTTTAGCCATGACTTATCAGGTTGTGCAAACACAGCTTTAGAAAGATCTACCGACACACAAACACATGTGTCTTATCTCTCCGGTTTATCTTATCTGGCTCTTAAAGATTCTCCTTTTTCATGCTTTGATTTCTGACTTCTGATTTACCCCTGGGGTAAATTGTCTGGAGCCTCCTTTTGTCCAGCCCTGGAGCAAAGGGGGGAGGAGGGGGGGTAGATGTTTGCTGAGTTGTGCGTGCGAAGCACCAGGGCCAGCCTTTGCCCTCTGTGCCTGTCGTCTTTTCCGGGGAAACAAAAGTGGGAAGCAATCGGAACGCCCAGGTCAGGAAAAGGAGGGTTTGAAACTTCCTGAACAAGAGGGCACCACTGCGGTGGCACGCAGAAGCAGCACACACACACACACACACACACACACACACACACACACACACACACGCCCTAGCTCCAAATTAAAAGGCCTTGAACTTAATCCCCAGTCTCTTCCAGCCAACAGAAGTGTGTGACTCAGCACATCAACAGCTTGTGGACCCTATTTTCACTTGCTCAGTTTCCAAAACCTCACGTATGATGGTCTAATCCAATGTCTTTCAAACTTGGCTATTTTAAAATAGATGGATTTCCACTCTCCTGGCTGGGGAATTCTGGGAGTTGAAAGGCCACAGATTTTTTAAATATTACTTTCCCCCCCCCCCCAGATCATAAATGTGTTTTTACATCTCCAATGTATTCTAACTTCGTAAATATCCAAAAGCTAATGTGTGATGGTGGGATCCAGTGTGTTTCAAACTCGGCTACTTTCAGACGGGTGTACTTCAACTCCCAGAATCCCCCTAACTTTTTAAATGTTAGTTTTCCAGATCTTTAACACGTTTTCACCTCTCAAAGCTGAAAACGTGGTAAATGTTCAAAGGATAAGGTATGATGGTCTATAAACCGGCGTGTTCCGAACTTTTAAAACGTCCTGGCCAGGGGATTCTGGGAGTTGAAGTCCACACTTTTTAAATGTTATTTTTCCAGATCTTTAACACGTTTTCACGTGTTGGGAGAAAGCAAGCCAGCGAAGCCCTAAAGCAGGGGTAGGCAACCTTGGCTCGTGGCCTTCAACTCCCAGAATTCCTGAGCCAGCCGTGCTGGCTCAGGAATTCTGGGAATTGAAGTCCACGAGTCCTAAAAGAGCCTACCCCTGCCCTACCTAAAGTGACCTGGCCGAATGCGGAGCGGAGACGCCAGGCTGGCAGGCGAGGAGCG